CCAACTCCCACAACGTGGGTTTGCAGATGATCCCTTGACCGACCGAAGTGTCCAGTTCCAAGAGGTCAAAGGCATGGGCCAACTTGGGCCCTCTCTCCAGGTGTTTTGGACTTCAACTCCCACAAAGTGGGTATGCAGATGATCCCCTGATTTACTGAAGTGTCCAGTTCCAAGAGGTCAAAGGCATGGGCCAACTTGGGCCCTCCCTCCAGGCGTTTTGGACTCCAACTCCCACAACGTGGGTATGCAGATGATCCCTTGACTAATCGAAGTGTCCAATTCCAAGAGGTCAAAGGCATGGGCCAACTTGGGCCCTCCCTCTAAGTATTTTGGACTCCACCTCCCACAACGTGGGTATGCAGATGATCCCTTGACCGACTGAAGTGTCCAGTTCCAAGAGGACAAAGGCATGGGCCAACTTGGGCCTTCCCTCCAGGTGTTTTGGACCTGAACTCCCATAACATGGGTATGCAGATGATCCCTTGATTGACTGAAGCGTCCAGTTCCAAGACGACCAAGGCATGGGCCAACTTGGTCCCTCCCTCTAGGTATTTTGGACTCCGCCTCCCACAGCCTGGGTATGCAGATTATCCCTTGACTGACCGAAGTGTCCCGTTCTTAGAGGACATAGGCATGGTCCATCTTCATCCATCCCTCCATGTGTTTTGGAGTCCCAGCTCCCATAATGTGGGTATGCAGATGACCCCCTGATTGACCAAAGTGTCCCGTTCCAAGCATTGAAGTCTATGCTTTTTCTAGTCTCACCCAGAGAGATCTCAAGGGAAGTTACTCCTTGTGTTGCTGACGGAACTGAAGTTGTCTTGCCTGGGTTTCAGGCCTCATTGTCTCCTGGTTCCGAGGGGGCCAAACTATGCGTTGATATACCTTTGGCTCATCCTCACAAGGACCAAAGCAAACTGGAGTCCAGTGTAGATCAGGATGTATCCAAACCCTGCCAAACTGTAAGTCAGTGTTTCTCAACCTGGGGGTCGGGACCCCGGGGGGTTGCCAGGGAGTGTCAGAGGGGTTGCCAAAGACCTTCAGAAAATACAGAATTTTCTGTTGGTTGTGGAGGTTCTGTGTGGAAAGTTTGGCCCAATTCTATCGTTGGTGGGGTTTAGAATGCTCTTGGATTGTAGGTGAACTATAAATCCTTGAGAAGCCAGACTTTGCCACCGTCTTTGTCGCCACTCTGGTTACATCTCGAATAGACTATTGCAAGTTTGCAGTTTGGGCACCTAATGCTCCATCGAGGATTGCCTCGGAGCCTCAGGAAAGTCGTGTTTGGGAATCCTCGAAGAAGAGGTGCGAGGGAGGGATCCCTCCAAAGTGCGAGGCTTCACGAGGAGGTTCCCACAGCCACATTCATCCAGAACAGGCTTGAGCCAACTTGGGCCCTCCCTCCAGGTGTTTGGACTCCAACTCCCACAACGTGGGTATGCAGATGATCCCTTGACTGACCAAAGTGTCCAGTTCCAAGAGGACAAAGGTATGGCCCAACTTGGACCCTCTCTTCAGGTATTTTGGACTTGAGCCCCCACAACGTGGGTATGCAGATGATCCCTTGATTGACTGAAGTGTCCAGTTCCAAGAGGACAAAGGCATGGGCCAACTTGGGCCCTCCCGCCAGGTGTTTTGGACTCCAACTCCCACCATTCCTTTTCCCTTTCCTTTTCTGCTTAAGGGGCTGAGGCGGAAAAGGAAGGGGCCTGAGGCTGTGAAGAATTCTGGGAGTTGAAGTCCGAAACACCTGGAGGGAATACCAACTTTTGTCCATGCCAGGTTCGGAAAGTTCATTGTGTCCTCAAAGGCTTTCATGGCCAGAATCACTGGGTTGCTGGGCATTTTCTGGGCTGTTGGGTTGCAACCTGGTGGCCATCAGTAAAGAAGCCGGGGGGGGGGGGGGGGGGGGGGGGGGGGTGTCTGTGTATATCTATCTATCTATCTATCTATCTATCTATCTATCTATCTATCTATCTATCTATCTATTTCTATCTATATATATGTATATATATTGTAGCAAAATGTTTGACAATCTCAAATGGCATCCTCCCCGCTTTCCCTTCTTTCCTCATACTTTGCACAAGGCATTGTGTATAATTTCCGAAGGTGCTCCGTAGCCATGGTGATACGGAAGGTATAATTACCTCTGTCAGGAAAGGCAGGTAGATAAGATGGAGAGCCAAGTGCAGCTGCGTCCGTCCGTCCATCCTTCCTCCCTTTTTCCCTTCCTTCCTTCCGAATGTGGATATGGGGCCCGTGGGTGGACAAGGCCACTGGAGTTTGCTCCATTTTCCTTCCTTCCTTCCTGAAACCTCTCCCAGCTCCGAGCCATGAGCCCCAGCGGACACATCCAGGGGCAGCCGTGGTTTGGTCCCACCCAAAATAGTTCAGCTTTGGAATTGGGACAGCCTTTGCCAGGTGTCACCCTTCGAGCATCGAGCTCAGGCCTGGGCCAACTTGGGCCTTTTCTCCAGGCGTTTTGGACTTCAACCCCCACAATTCAATGATGGGAATTGAAGTCCATGCTTGATCTAGTCTCACCCATGCAGATCTCAAGGGAAGTTACTCTTTGTGTTGCTGAGGGAACTGAAGTTGTATTGATTGGGTTTCAGGCCTCGTCCCCCGGTTCCAAGGGGGCCAAACCATGCGTTGATATTCCTCCGGAGCATCCCCACAAGGACAAAAGCAAACCGGAGTCCAGTGTAGATCAGGATTTATCCAAACCTTGCCAAACTGTATATCAGTGTTTCTCAACCTGGGGATTGGGACGTGAGTATGCAGATGATCCCCTGATTGACCGAAGTGTCCAGTTCCTTGAGGACCAAGGCATGGGCCAGCTTGGGCCCTCCCTCTGGGTATTTTGTACTCCAACTCCCACAACATGGGTATGCAGATGATCCCTTGACAGACCAAAGTGTCAAGTTCTTTGAGGACAAAGACATGGGCCAACTTGGGCCCTCCCCCCAGGTGTTTTGAACTCCAACTCCCACAACATGGGTATGCAGATGACCCCTTGACTGACCAAAGTGTCCAGTTCCTTGAGGACAAAGACATGGGCCAACTTGGACCCTCCCTCCAAGTGTTTTGAACTCCAACTCCCATAACATGGCTATGCAGATGAAACCTTGACTGACCAAAGTGTCCAGTTCCTTGAGGACCTAGGCATGGGCCAACTTGGGCCCTCCCTCTGGGTATTTTGTACTCCAACTCCCATAACATGGCTATGCAGATGATCCCTTGACAGACCAAAGTGTCAAGTTCTTTGAGGACAAAGACATGGGCCAACTTGGGCCCTCCCTCCAAGTGTTTTGGACTCCAACTCCTACAACATTGGTATGCAGATGACCCCTTGACTGACCAAAGTGTCCAGTTCCTTCAGGACAAAGGCATAGGCCAACTTGGGCCCTCCCTCCAGGTGTTTTGGACTCCAGCTCCCATAACATGGCTATGCAGATGACCCCTTGACTGACCAAAGTGTCCACTTCCAAGAGGACCAAGGCATGGGCCAACTTGAGCCCTCCCTCCAGGTGTTATGGACCCCAGCTCCCATAACATGGCTATGCAGATGACCCCTTGACTGACCAAGATCTGCTCCCTCCCTCCTGTCCTTGAAATAGAAAGTCAAGACATGGCTATGGGACCAAGCATTTGGAGAAGAGGCAGCTAGGAAGGGATTGTAATGGGAACGAGGGACAGGGACTTCTCAGTGGTGGCTCCTCAGCTCCCCGTGAAGTCAGATCTGTTCCCTCCCTCCTGTCCTTGAAATAGAAAGTCAAAACCTGGCTATGGGACGAAGCATTTGGAGAAGAGGCAGCTAGGAAGGGATTGTAATGGGAACGAAGGACAGGGACTTCTCAGTGGTGGCTCCTCAGTTCCCCATGAAAACAGATCTGCTCCCTCCCTCCTGTCCTTGAAATAGAAAGTCACAACCTGGCTATGGGACCAAGCGTTTGGAGAAGAGGCAGCTAGGAAGGGATTGTAATGGGAACGAAGGACAGGGAGTTCTCAGTGGTGGCTCCTCAGTTCCCTGTGAAAACAGATCCACTCCCTCCCTCCTGTCCTTGAAATAGAAAGTCAAAACCTGGCTATGGGACCAAGCGTTTAGAGCAGGTATGGGCAAACTTCGGCCCACCAGCCCACCGGCTGTTAGGAATTGTGGGAGTTGGAGTCCAAAACACCTGGTGGGCCGAAGTTTGCCAATGCCTGGTTTAGAGAATAGGCAGCTAGGAAGGGATTGTAATGTGATCGGAACGGCTCCGGGATGATGATTTCAGGTCTCTGTGTTAGACTTTTAATAGTTTATTTAATGTATTGATACGTTACGATTTGTTATTGATTTTAAGGTAGAATGCATCTTGTATTTGTATGTTTTATGTTTATTGTGGGAGGGAATTATTGCCAATTTGGAGGCCACTCTGAGTCTGTCAAAATAAAGAAAATAGGTAAATAAAGACACCTGAGCCTTCCTTTCCTGAATGTACAAGTCGTGCGTCCCTTGAGGCGGTTCCTTTGCAGTTTGGGCACCTGATGCTCCGTCGAGGATTGCCCAGGTGTGCCAAATTTGGGGGCCCAAGTGCTGCAGGTGTCATGAGGGGGAGGGTCTTTTGAGGGGCACAATGTGGGGCTTTGGTGGCCTTGGGGGGGGGGGTTGGCAAGAGGTCAGCCTTTGTAGCAGTGTGCCGGGGATGTGCCGCATCCACCTCATTGATGCTGCTGCTGCTTGGGTGCTGGGTGGGTTTCTAGGGGGGGGGATGCAAGCGGGTGGTTGCCAAGGAAACAGAGGCTTCGGGAGTCTCGCGCCGCCACCACCACCGACGTTGCCATCATCGCTCTCCGGCCCTCTCTCTCTCTCTCTCTCGCTCGCTCGTTCTGTCTCTCGGAGCAGAGCTGGGCGGATTCTGAACATCGGACTGAGAGGCAGCCGGCAGCCCAGTGTGAGGGGTGCCACCGTGCCGGTCCCATTAACCACGCTTTTCCTCCCTCCCTTTCGCCCCCAGGGCTTCCTCAGCCGCCGCTTCAAGGGCTCCATCAAACGGACAAAGAGCCAGCCCAAGCTCGACAGGAACGGCAGCTTCCGGCACATTCTCCCTGGCTTCAGGACCACCCTGGACAATGAGAGGTAAGGCGGTGGGGCATCGTTAGGGCATTTGTGGGGAAGAAGGAGGGCATCCACCCACCCGTTCATCCATCCATCCTTGGGGGTTTGGCTCTGTCCGATGGCACCTGGTGACGATGGTGAAGCCTTGAGGCGGTGCTGGGCTCCGAACAATGCAAGCGAGATATATACTGTTGTGGTACGGAGGTGTGCATTTGGTAGGAGGTGGCTCTGGCTATGCAATGGGGAGGCCGGCCACAAAGAGTCTGGTCCTTTCTAGGAAGCGCCCAGGCTTGAACCCGGTCCCTGGTCTCTCTGTGTGTGTTTGCGTGGTTGTCCCCACTCATTGGAGCCAAGCAGAGGTGCATGATGTGCTCCCCCTGGCCCCACAGTGTGCATTTGGTAGGAGGGTGGCTCTGGCAATGCAATGGGGAGGCCGGCCACAAAGAGCCTGGTCCTTTCTGGAAGCGCCCAGCCTTGGACCTGGTCCCTGATCTGTATGTTTGTGTGTTTGTGTGGTTGTCCCCACTCACTGGAACCAAGCAGAGGTGCATGATGTGCTCTCCCTGGCCCCATGGAGGCTGTGTGGCACCTCCAAAGGAAGAAAGGTGTGTCTTGTGCTGCCCTCCTGGCCTGCCCCACCCACCTTCCCGTGTCCCAAGTTTGCTCCCCATGACCCACATTTCAAGGCTCGTTGTTGTTTTTCCTGGGGGAGAAAGACTTCCTTGCCAATGCCGGCTTGCTTGTGATGAGGATGTTTGCGGTGCATCCTGCCCACCGAGTCCAGCCTCGGAAGCCATCGTCAGGGTGTTCTTTGCGGCGCTATTGTGTTGTTGTGTCCAGTTGGAATACAGCGCCTTTGCTTCTGGCTGAGGGGTGGCATGGGTAGCCAGAGAGAGTGGCTGACCGGCCAACTGACCGCCTCGAGAGCCACGCTAGCTTCGAACCCAAAGGTTTGGTGGCAAAGGCACAGTGTGTTTGGGGTAGGAGAAGAAATTGAATGCAACAGCTTGGGGAGAGCGTGGGGAGCCATCAATACATAATAATAAATACTTGATTTGTATTCCGCCCTATCTGCTGTGTTGCAAAGGCATTGTGGGGAGGGGAGACGTGATGGGGAGAGGAGCGAGGCTGCGGGCATTGTCTCTCTCTCTCTCTTTGCATGTGTGTCTTTTGGGGCTGTGACACACACAAACACACACGCACACACACTGTGCATCTGGAGTGAGGCGGGAGAGCGAGAGGCCCTTCCCTCCTCGCCAGGAGCAACCCAACGCCCCCTCTGAGATCATGCCTTATTTTGAGGGCAATGCCTTTGGCTCAAACACAATGACTAGATCCATCCCTGGGTGCCTTTGGGCCCGATCCCCAGGAGATGGGTTCATGACATCCAGCTTGGGGTTGCTCCTGGGGGTCACCTGTGCATTCACCTGTTCTGAATGAGCAGCTGGGCTTGCCTCCTGCTTTGGATGAAGCCAGGGGTCTTCCTTCTCTTTCCCTTCACTTGGATTTTAAGGGCTTGACCACACCCCACCCTCCTTCCTTTCCTATCGATCCCTGCCATTCAAGACACAGAGAAACGGCTACAAATAAACACCAAGGGTTGGTCCAGGAACGGCTCCGCGCTCCGTTTGGCACACCTCTGGGCTGGAGCGCACCTTTCGGAAACGTGGCAAGGAAGCGTGGACTCCATCTTGTTGTGGGCAATTATTGTGCAATCTCCCTTGGCATCTGCGTGTGGTTCGTCCCAAAGGACGGTGCGCCGACGGCATTTGTGTGTTTCTGTGGGTTTCAAAAGAGCCGGCGGAGAGCTTTGCAGCCCGGGAAACAAAGAGGGTCTCGGGGATGGTTGGTTTCGGTCTCTCCAAGCCCCTCTTTCCTAATGTTATGTATCTGGAACAAATGCACTCCCAGGTTCCGAGCCCCAAGAGGATGGCGTTGGCTCAGATCTCCATACTTTATTCCACGTCTACTAGAAATGAGGAAAGGAGCATCTCAACCCCAATCCCCTCCCATATTGCAAATGCTATCCAGCCCCACACCATCTTGACACATCTCCAGGTATCTCCCACCTGTGGTCTTCCAAAGTGACCTTTGCAATTTCTAAAAAGATGTACGAGATTCTCTTACTTTTAGGTTATTTATCGGGAACTATTTATATAAGTTTAAGGCACTGAGGGAGAAAGGAAGCCCATGCCTAACGTCTGGGTGTCCCCGGTTAGAGCCCTGAAGGCAGTCCCCTAGCCTAGGAGCATTGAAGGCACCCCCCTGCTATAGAGGCTGGGTGGGCATCTTCTTGGACTGTTTTAGTTGTGGATTCTTTGGCAGGAAAGGGTTGGACTAGATGGCCCCCCATCTAGTCCAATCCTTTCCTGCCAAAGAATCCACACCTAAAACAGTCCAAGATGCCCACCCAGCCTCTATAGCAGGCATCGGCAAACTTTGTCCCTCCAGGTGTTTGGGATTCCAACTCCCACAATGTGGGTATGCAGATGATCCCTTGATTGACTGAAGTGTCCAGTTCCAAGAGGACCAAGGCCTGGGCCAACTTGGGCCCTCCCTCCAGGTGTTTTGGACTCCAACTCCCATAACGTGGGTATGCAGATGACCCCTTGATTAACTAAAGTGTCTAGTTGCAAGAGGACAAAGGCAGGGGCCAACTTGGGCCTTTCCTTCAGATGTTTTGGACTCCAACTCCCACAATGTGGGTATGCAGATGATCCCTTGATTGACTGAATTGTCCAGTTCCAAGAGGACAAAGACATGGGCCAACTTGGGCCCTCCCTCCAGGTTTTTTGGACTCCAATTCCCACAACGTGGGTACAGATGATCCCTTGATTGACTGAATTGTCCAGTTCCAAGAGGACAAAGACATGGGCCAACTTGGGCCTTTCCTTCAGATGTTTTGGACTCCAATTCCCACAACGTGGGTGCAGATTGACTGAAGTGTCCCATTCCAAGAGGACAAAGGCATGGGCCAAATTGGGCCCTCCCTCCGGGTGTTTTGGACTCCAACTCCCACAACGTGGGTATGCAGATGATCCCTTGATAGACTGAAGTGTCCAGTTCGAAGAGGTCAAGTGCGAGGGCCAACTGGGGCCCTCTCTCCAGGTGTTTTGGACTCCAACTCCCACAACGTGTGTATGCAGATGATCCCTTGACTGACTGAAGTGTCCAGTTCCAAGAGGACAGAGGCATGGGCTAACTTGGGCCCTCCCTCCAGGTGTTTTGGACTTCCGATCCCATGATGTGGGTATGCAGATGATCCCTTGATTGACTGGAGTGTCCAGTTCCAAGAAGACAAAGGCATGGGCCAACTCCAGCCTACCCCCTAGCCATTTTTGACTCCAACTCCTGTAACGTGGGTATGCAGATGACCCCTTGATTGACTGGTGTCCAGTCCCAAGAAAAAGGCATGGGCCAATTTCGGCCTTCCCTCCAGGTGTTTTGGACTCCCAACTCCCATCATTCCTAACAGTCTCAGGCCCTTTCCTTTCCCCCCTCAACCACTGAAGTGTAAGTTGGCCCATGCTGCTCTAGAAAGAAAGGAATCAGCCAAAACATCTCCTGAGTCTTCCTTGCCTAAGGAAGCCTAATGAAACGGAAGGCCATCTCTGGATATGGTTTGGTTCCTCCTGCTGTTGGCAGGAAGACCTTTCTCCAGATCTATCTTGGTGCAAAGGCACACATCTCTGTCGATTCCTGTTGGGAGGCAGGTGGCTGCAGATCTTCTCTGGGGCGTTCAGGACCCTGGACAATGCCTTTGAAGCTTTCCTTGCAAACCACAACCAAAACAGCACCATCCGCCTTCCAATGTTGGACTCACAAGTGGGGACTCTGGGGGCTTTTAAACAGAGCCTGGATGGCCATCTCTCAGGGGTGTTTTGATTGTGCTTGTCCTGCATAATGGCAGAAGGGGGTTGGACTGGATGGCCCATGTGGTCCCTGTTCTATGATTCAAGAAAAGGTTTTCTCTCCGAGGTGTCGAAGAGGGCCTAAGGTTTTAAGGTTTCACAAGGCAACATTTCCGGTCTCTCATTTGCAAAAAATCATGCAAATGTCTCCAAGAGTGAGTTGAAGACGCTGCGAAAAGGAAGTGCAATCATTCAGTGCAATCAGGCCTCCTTATCCTCAGGTTCTGCATTCATGTATTCAACCATCCATCCATCTATCTATCTATCTATCTATCTATCTATCTATCTATCTATCTCGATTGTATATACTCGAGTTTAAGCCAACCCAAATATAAGCCAAGGCAGTTAATTATTGACTTGAGTATAAGCGGAGGGCGGAAAGTAGCAGCCAATAAGGAAAGGACCAAGGCAGTGACATCTCTGACTCATCCTCTGTTCGGATATCAGCCAGCATGCCAATGCCTTAAATCAAGAAACTGCTTCCTAAGATCTACAGAGATACTCATGGGAACACCTCAGCAAGCAAGAGTCCAAAAGTGGCAGGCTCAAACCCGGAAACGCAATCAGTGGCTGAAACTGGATGATGGGGCAACTTGGAAGGCACTGAACAGACTGTGCTCTGGCACCACAAGATGCAGAGCCGAAAGACGTGGGACCTCAAAGCGGAGACCACAACATGTGAGTGGGGAGAAGAGCAAACCAAAGACCACTAACTACAATGCAACCTGAGCCCTGCCACATGCACAATGGAGGACCTTCTTAAAGAGACACCAGAGGCACTCCAAGTGGCCAGCTTCTGCTCAAAGAACATTTAGGAAATCTTAACTCTGTGGTTTTTTAAATATTTACAAACTGTATTCTCAATTTGCTGCAATGTGCATACCTACATTGTGGGCGTTGGAGTCCAAAACACCTGGAGGGAGGGCCCAAGTTAGTCCAGGCCTTTGTCCTTTTGGAACTGGACACTTTGGTCCATCAAGGGGTCATCTGCATACCCACACAGATGGCCCTTGGGAAGTTGGAGTCCAACCACCTGGAGGGCCTAAGCTGGCCCATGCCTATGTCCTCTTGGAACTGGACACTTCGGTCCATCAAGGGATCATCTGCATA